GCTACCTGAAAACAAATTTCGGTCGCTAGCTTCCTTTGCATATGACGCTCTGAGGCACTCTGGACTTTTGACGAAACAAAGTAAGGTGCATGCAATTCGATGGAACTGAATCGGAAGCGAGGCCAAGCTACGCCGCTTCTCAGCATACTTCGAACAACATAGTGCCATCTACCCTAGCCTGAAGTAGCATTGGTGGCTCTCCTGGAGTACTGGCCGTGGTCTGCCCGAAAGCGGAAGAGGCACCACCAACCCCTGAACATTGCATGAGGCACAGAGATTGCATGACAACGCCGGTCGAACCGAGAACCTCGTAACATGTGTTAAGTATTGCTACCTCCCTGAGTGCTCTCCCCGAACAGTTACGACACATCTGCAAGCAGCCACGACATCGCTTCCTACAAGCCTTTAGGCGTCTGCTGCTTTGACAGTCCTGGAGCACTTGTGGCGGTCTGCTTGGATGGTGCGGATGTGCCCGGTCCTAGTGTGCAGTTGTGAGGTTCACGAACTAAAATCGTTACTTTTGTGTCACTCTCTGTAACTCTTCAGCACATCGCTGTCTGTAACTCTCCAGCACATCGCTGTGCGATCTGTGCGACATGGACCTCTCCTGTAGTACTGGTCGCGGACACAGTGGACTTGTCGTCTTCGTCTCCTGACGCATGTGGTGGAGTTGAGAGCTCCCCAGACAGTCGCCCTCTGCGCTTGCCTTTTGCATCTTCTTCGGCAACCCAGTCGAGCATGGCCCGAGACTTGTCCTAGGTCAAAGATACTGAAGTGTCTCGCCGAGGTCCTAAGCCTCAAAGACTACTCCCAAAAAAAAACAGCCTCTCGGGCCAAGATTTGCCGAGGCACCACGATCCCGTTCACGCGATTTTGCCTCTTGCCCCTCGCAGCTTGGAGTGAGCGCTGGAGACCGCTGACACGTTCTTGCAGGGCCTGCCCAAGAATCGCACAGCAGAGTTTCTGGGTGAGAGTAGCTGTTTCGTCAGACCTAATCAGCAGAAGGTGCTTCTGGAAGGTTTGATTACTTGCAGAGAGAACCGGACATCCCACAGAGAGCCTCCTCGGTGGCCTTGGCAGCCTTTAGCTGGGCTTCCGCAGCTTGCCGCTTCTCCTGCAGGGGGAAACAGTAGATTTCCCGTGCTGCTTCTAGACTACATCGAACACTAGCAGGCTAGCTGCCCGGTGCCATCGAGACTGTGATACTCGCCTCTGCTGCTTTCAAAGATGCCTCTGTCACGCGGAGACGCTCCTGGCACGAACCCCAGAGTCAAAGCAAAGTGTCGCCGTCAGCAGAGCGACGTTTACGTCCAGCACGTATGCAAATCCGCTCGTATCAGTGCGAGCGAAAACCTTTGGTGCGACGGAGCACACCGGAATGCCGCCCAGTGGCGGTTTTCTCTGCGAGCTCTTTCTTGGCATTTTGCAGCTCCTGTCTCTTTTGACAGGTTCGGCTGTTCCGCGCAGCTTAAACGGCACACGGTGAAGTCGCATGATGGCACACGGCGAAGTCGTACGACCCAGCCTCAGATGAAACGTGGCTGGTCTGGGCGGTGTCCGGTGCTTGCAGCCTCTCCTCGGAAACAGAGACTACCACAACGGGGATCCGCTCTACGCTCAGTTCCGGTCACACCCATGCAGCTGCTGGAACTCTCCAGAAAACATACTACACAGTGGATGTTTAAGAGATGTCCGTAGCCCGCCTCTGCTGCTTTCAAAGATGCTTCTGTGGCCGCGAGACGCTCCTGGCACGACCCCCACTGCACCGGCACTGCCCAAAGCAGGACGTCGCCGTCAGCACAGCGATATTTTCGTCCGCCCATATGCACACACTCGTATCCAGCTTGCTTCCATGGACGAAAAACCTTTGGTGGGACGGAGCACGCCGGAATGCCGCCCAGTGGCGGTTTTCTCTGCGAGCTCTTTCTTGGCATTTTGCAGCTCCTGTCGGGACACGGTGAAGTCGCATGATCACACGGCGAAGTCCTACGACTCCCATCGACTCCCACAGCCCCGCCTCAGAAGCAACGTGGCTGGTCTGGGCGGTGTCCGGTGCTTGCAGCCTCTCCTCGGAAACAGAGACTACCACAACGGGGATCCGCTCTACGCTCAGTTCCGGTCACACCCATGCAGCTGCTGGAACTCTCCAGAAAACATACTACACAGTGGATGTTTAAGAGATGTCCGTAGCCCGCCTCTGCTGCTTTCAAAGATGCTTCTGTGGCCACGAGACGCTCCTGGCACGAACCCCACTGCACGGCACTGCCTAAAGCAGAACGCGGTGCCGTTGAGCACATTTGTGTGCGATGCTCGGACACTCAAGAGCCCACTTAGCCGGATGAGCTTTCGCCTAAACCGACGTGGTGAATGCAGCCAGGTGGCCGACTTCTCTGCAAGCTCGCCCTTCGCTGTTCGCAGCTCCTGTCGCTGAGTTTTGGATAGGGGCGGCCTTTGCACAAAGGATCCAACGAGGCTTCACAGCAAGACATGGTGACATAAAGCTGACTCACTACTCGAATGCATTCGACCCAGGCTGCAGCAGCAGATCCGAGAATTACATGTAACATGCCGCGAAGGTGTCGGACAGTCGAAGCTTCCCTTGAGTTGGACGGGCAAAAATTTGTCACCCCGATTCTCAAAATCCTGCGCCGTTCGTCGGTCCCCCCGTGGCCACCTGGGGACCCCGAACCTCTTCAAACGTCCAAACTGCGCATTTTCCCCACGTACGTGCGGCCCGCAAATGGGCAATCAAGCCAATCGAAACCACGAAGTGTTCAGCACAGCGCAAGAAGAGGATAGCACAGAAGTTGGACAGGCCGTTCGATGAGAAGCCTTCGGCCTCTGCATCCAAACGTCGAGACCCTCGATGAGACCCTCGGAGGCCATGTCCGGAACTCCCTGACCCCTACATGAACCCGACTCAAGAGCCGGCTAGATGGCCTGCCATCACTGCCTACGAGTACCTGCCTAAGACATTAAGTCCTAGGAGCCAGCAAGGCACACTGGCCGCACTGGCCTGCTGGAGCGCGCCCTGACCTTTCCCAAAGAGGCCGCCGCCACGAACCTGCTCTCCCACAGAATCCGGGAGTGTTGTACAGGAACTTGGAGCTAGCGCAAAAGCAGGGGAGAAAGAGACACAAAGAGAGAGAGAGAGAGAGCGAGAGATATAAAACAAATACTTTCACAAGGGCCACAAGTGCTTTGGGTGTGCCCTGCACTAGCGAGTCACACTTTGACATGTTACCTCTCACATGCAGTTATTGGAACCCTTCAGCCCTTGCTGCTTTGGCGGAGCGGGAAGATGTACCCTTGAGAACAACACGGCATGGGCACTTCCTCCTGAATCCGCATGTACCACTGCATTCCAAGGGACATGTTTTGCTCTCAAATTTTCGCGTGCTGTGCGAAGTCCCAGCACGAGATTGTGGGTCATCGTTTCGGGAACTTTCGTCCCCTTGATCTCTCAAGGCTGCGGTGTCGATGCCCGTGACTCACGGCATGGTCAGCACTTTCCGGATACATGAAACATCATGAAACTCGAGAATCGATGCAATCATCCTTCAGGTCGCCCAGCTTGTGTGCACAGCTTCGCAGGCTTCTGCTCAGACTGGTGGACAGTAATTTCTTTGGCATCAGCATGTGTCGCAGCTGGACATTTCCTCCAGCTTCCAAGGTCCCGAACACATGTCGCGAAGAAATGCAACCATTCTCGGCCAGCGCTCCGGATCTCGCAATACTAAGTATGGAGGGCGTTGATAATTGAATTGCGGCCTACAGTCAAATTACAGGAGTATGGTGAGATGCTCTGGCTGTCGAGATCGTGCCCAGGCACACACCCGGGGGAAAACCTCGCCACGAAGTGTCAAAGCGAGGAGTGTTATGACATTTCTTGTTTGACATGACCGGCATGTCACATTTCGACTGCCCGAACACGCAAACTTAATCAACAGCGCTCGTTACTGAACCGTTCAGCTTAGCTCCAGCACCTCAGAGCTTCCAGCGGAAGTGGCATGGTAGCCATTACCTTGTGAAGTCAAAGGCAAGGCCACCCACCATCCCCGCCCAACCCTCAGAGCCACGGTTGCGGGCAAAACGCTCCGTGGCAGCGGCGGCCGTCCTTTTCGGCTCCCGCTTGGCCGCACCGGCGACTTTGGCGATGTTGGCCTCTGCGAGGACTCTGGGGAAGGCGACGGCGACGGAGTGATCTCGGAGACCTGCAAGATCGGGAGTGTTTAAACGGTGGCACAGAAACCTGCACAGTGGTTCGGCCTGCGGGCTTTTTCCAGACGGTGTCCTCCCGAGACATCTGTTGTGGAAACCCTATGACGCAGAAAGGCACTTGCCTTGGCTCCGGGAGAGAACCGAAGCCTCGGGCTGTTTGGAGTCTCGCAACATGCTCTCATCCTGCTCAGTGCTCGCAGCGCTTGCGGACTGGCGACTCTTCGGAGTCCGTACACGCACGTCGGGAGTGGGCGCGCGAGCCGCCTGGGTCACGCAACATTTCGCACAAGACTCAAGACTGTCACACACCCGCGAACGTGCCCCAATTAGTTCTGAAATCTTCGCATCTTCACACAGATGTTTGAGGAGAGGGTCTGCAATTCAATACAGAGTCGCAGATCGAATGCAAGCTTCGCGGCCCAGCATGTGCTTGCATATGGCAGCCGTACAGCACCGAATCCGATTGTACAACGAAACTAGTTTCGGCACTTTCGGCAAAGATCGCGTGCTGAAAAGAGCCGTTTGAAAATGTGCAACGGGCTTGATCGTTTCACACCCCAGTTGTTCCCAGAAGAGGCAAGAATTGAGCACTCCGGCACAACCTCCGAGGAGTTGAGGCGGTTGGGATCTCTTTTGCTTCCCAGCGACTGGACTCTGGTCTGCCCCCTTGGCATGATCTCGCAACGTGATACATGTGTGCCACGCGCTTTCAACGTGTCCCGTTGCCAAGTTGCTGTGCTTGGCGACCGCGCAATGCCAGGCCTCTGGTTTCATGCGCGAGCCCATTGGCACGAACCAGGCATGCTAAGTGAAGACTCCTCAAGTTGAGACGCTGTGTGTACGTCTGATAGCGCTGCAGCAGCTGCCGAATGTCCATGCCCACCTGCGACCCAGGAGATTCCACGAGCTTCGTGGCACAAAGCAGATGCGAGGATGGGAAGGACACCCTGTGCCCTCCTCCCGAGCGGTGGAGGCTCCGGAAGGGTGGCGCTGGCGGAGCGCTCGCAACGGGTTCCCCGCCAGCGTCTCGCCACCTGCGGCCGGTCGCGATTTCGACAAGTCCTCTAACAGACATTCTCTGCTGACTCTCGATCATCACACTGCCGAGCCACAGGTAAGGTCACTGGCAGAGTCTGCTGGCATCATATCCTTACTCCACACCACAGCCACTGCGCAAGTCGCTGGCGCAGCCGGAACACTACAACCAAGAGAATGTGCACATGTGTGCGTGTATGCATGTGTGCACATACGGTTGTGAGCTGCGCATTCTCCCAGTTCCCCCCCCCCCCCGCGAATGGTGGTATCCCGCCCTTCCACTGCAGCCTGGACTACCCATTCCACACGGAGGGGGAAATAAGCTGAAGCTCAACGCCCAAGCCGTTCCAGAAAGGATACCATGTTTGCCAGCGAGGTTCCTCGAAACGTAGCCGGGAGTTCGAGGCAGTCGCTGGCCGAAAACCCTCTTGGTTCTCTGCCGTTTTTGTCCTGCCCGCTCCGCACTGCATCCCGGTGCTCTGCTGCTCTCATGGCTTCTGTCCTGCGTGGCAGCTGCACGCCAAAGCCTGAGGCTCCCGATGCCGATGGACCCGACCCGCCGAAGGCCGGTCGGGCTGTGAAGGCATGGCCTTTCAACTGTCTCCTGGCTATGAGAAGGGCAGGCTGCGTTGGCTCTTGCTGGGCCTCCGAATTCCACGATCTGGAGCAGGATTCCAGGCTTGATTCTTTGGATACAACACAGTCTTGCTGAAGAGACCTGATTTAAGGAGGCTGAAGTCAGTACTCGAGTGTCGCGCGCCTGTCCTATCTGAGGCGGTGGGGTGAGGCACAGCCAAGAGATCCGCTCCTGGCCCGCTTCAGCTGCTCGAGGATAAGCTCGGTCTCGTCTGGCTCGCCGGCAAAAGGAACTTTGCCCTGAATCTCCTTATGCGTTCTCTCTGTTCCCCTCGAAGGACTACGGCTCAAGCCTGGTCTCTTTGTAGGCCAGCGGCTGCGCGCCTGTCGGCAAAGCCCGCAAGCAGCAGGGGATGCCTTGCAAGCTCTGTCTGAGGCCATCTGTATCGCGAGCAAAGGTCTTTGGTAGGGCCGCTGCTGCGGCTCTTGATCGTCTTCATCGGCACTGCCCAAGTCTCTGCCCTCCTCCGCACGTCCCGCATGACATGCCGAGTCCCTTGCGAGACAACCCTTCGCCTCTGGCTCACTTGCTGGAGCTTCAGTGCCGCGACTCGGAAAATTCGCATCCTGAGCACTGCCAAACAAACCTTGAGTTTGAAAGGATGCTTCCAGCGTTCGTCCAGGTGTCAAAAGGGTCGTCAACATCTGAATCCACACCTTGACGGGCGCAGGTACTGGTGATGAGACAAAGCGGAGATTCCCTCTGAAAACAACGAATCTGGTGCATGGGGCCGCAAGCATCCAAGCCGAGATGCACTCAAATGATCGTGGTATTGAGCTTATCCTTGGCTACAAGCTCTACGCGCAACGTGCAACACTGCGGGCACCACTTTGCAACATCACCCCCGAGGTGCGTACTTCACCGATCACTCTTTCAGCTACGAGATTGTAGCCAGGCATCTTCGTCCGGAGATCGTCTAGAACCTCCAGATTTGGAAGTAGCTCGATCACCCGTTCACGCGTCAGGGCACCTGGCCTCAGCTTGTCCAAAATGGTGGAAAAGCGTCGATCTTTAGCTTCAGACCACAGCGGTATCACACCCAAGCAGGTGGTTGGAACAGGCCGAGAGTCTTGCAGGAGGTCCGATAGACAGGGTTGCCTGCCAAGTTCAGCTCTCCTCAGCTGTTTCGAAAGGGATTCCAAGCTCTTCCTTCAAACTTGTTCTTTGATCTAAGCCGAGAGGTTGAGCGGACCCAGCTGGTAAAGAATCTTCGCTCTCCGAGTGTCGCAGGTGCGAGCAGCTGCCCAAAGCTCCTGAAAGTCGATGACTTTGCTCGAGCTACTTCGTGAAGCTCCCGTTCTAACCGCCTGTTGCTGGCCAGGGGGCGTATATCCTCCTCGTCGACTATGGCATTGCCCTCAAGATCAAGAACCTCCAACTGCTCGCACCCACTGAGAGGCGTCGCATCCTCAGCATGGAACTCGCCGGGCATGGGCAACACGGCAGACTCCCAAGATTGGCCATGAGCTTCTGCAGCAAGTGCAATGGAGCTAGTCTGATGCAGACATGCAGCAACCACATCATTAAAGGATAGATAGAGCTCCCTGTCCACAGAGCATGTCATGTCGATGGAACACACTTGTGAAAGGTTTGTGCCTGAGTGATGGGAGCAGGGCCGAGGCCCCGCCCAGGTCCTGCAAACCGCAGCGGCTCATCCAGAGCACCTCCAAGTGCTTCAGCCCTGAGCCTCGAAAGGAAAGGCAACGTCCGCAGCGAAGCGAACGGGGTAAAACGATCCTGAACGCGCCTAAGTCTCGAAGGCTGAGCACGCTCGACGGGTCCGTTAGCTTCAGCTGTCGAAGCTTTGGCAGATGTTCCCCGAGGAGTTCGAGGCTCTGCGTTGCAGAATCCACCTGCCCATGACGACCACGGAAAGACTGTGTTCTTCGGGCTCAACCCAAACCCTTTCTTGTAGAGGGCACTAGAAGAAAGACGAAAGCAGACCATAACTCCACACTCTTATCCTAAGTTCTAACCTTCCCACACAAATCTTTAAATCCGCACACCCGAGAGCCGCTTATAGCATGATTCACTATCCCTGAAAACTCCAAGGTTCTGTCAAGAATCGTTGAACATATGACCTGCAACCATACCGGAACAACTTCAGTGCATGTGAGTCGCTCGGAACTGTGTCGCTGAAACTTTCATTCTTTCGGTTAAGCGCACATAGCCTTATCTCTACATGCTGCAGTTACAGACAATGCGCAGTTGGCGCAGGTGCTATGTCGGGAAAACTTATGCTAGCATCTGGCGAGTCTTGTCAAGTTTACTCTTCAAATTTTGGTGGGAGCCTTTCCAAAGTCTTGTTTCTTCAACCGACCCGTCACTCAGACTCTATCCCGAATAAACTTGCAGCCCAAAAATCCAGTTGATGCTCAGCTGCGGCCGTGTGCTTGCTGATCCGAAAGAGAGTCATCGACACGAGCGATCCCTGTAGTCTCACTCCTCAAGCTCGTCCGGACACGCCAACTTTCGCACATCGCACTCCCTGCTTGTCTGGGGGGCAGGAGGGAAGAACCCCACTCCGCCCCCGGGGCCGCCTGTGCACACACGCGAGCCTGCAGCTCTTAGCCGGTCTGAAAGTCTTTCCGCCAGTGAGGTATGCTGCGCGCGAGCTTGTACTGCTTATGCTTTTCTTTCAGTCTCTGGTGCGTAAGCGTCCCGAGTAGAAAGCGACGATGCTTTGTTCGAGAGGTTGTGCTGGGTTTGAGATGTTGGGCTAGTCGGCGCCTGGATCTCCAGGTATGTAACCTGCTCCAAGTCCTGCACCGGGACATCTTTCCGTTGCTCGCATTGAAAGGTGTTTCGTAAGTCCTTCGTCTCGCAGTAGTGGCAGAGAAACTCGGCGGAGAATCCGGGCTCGAGTTGCCTGGACTCGGGCACTGCCAGGCTAGGAATGTCGACCTCTCATAGCTCGCAACACAACTCTTGCGAGATCTTGCGAGCTTGACACAGCTCTTCCAGCTCCGCGGTCTGAGCCAGGTCCACTCGAAGCTTCGGCACGGACATGGCCGCCATGGCGGCTGCATACTCGTCGCTGTCGAGCTTGCAAGGCTGAAGGGACTGAAGGGGTGAGGACTGCCCTTTTCAGAGCTGGCTGCATGGGTAGCGCTTGCGGAGTTGGTATGGCGTGGACTTGGTGTCCTGCAGCTGTGGACCGCCGGCGGCTCACAGATTGGAGGCAGCGAAGAATCCTAGTTGCTATCATTGCTACGCTTCCCGGCAAGACTGCTAGCAGAAAGCTTTCTCTCCAGCGTCGCGTCGCGGGCGAACAGAACAATCCTTGACCGTGAGACTCGAAGCTCACATCATGTTGCAACGGTTCTTGCAGTTGTCTGAGCAGTTCTGAGCCGGCCCCTCTGCGGGTAGCTCAGGTCTCACCAACCGGTCGGCAATGACCTCCCAACAGCGAGGACTCATCTGCCGAGACTCTAGTTTTTCACTTTTCTCCACGAAGAAACGGTCTGAGCAGCCAGCCGATTGTGAAGAAGGTGTAGAGGATCCACCAATGTGTCTCGCTGGCATCGAGGTCTGAGGCAAATGCGCTGATGTTTCTCTATCCCGTGGAAGACGCAGTAGCCAAACTTCAGGGTGTTGATGCCTCGAGTGAGCCTTTAGCGACCTCTGCCACGTTCCGGAGTTCTTCTTGCAATTTGCTCTTCTCTGCTCGCAGTTCCTGCAGCTCCTCCTTGCCAGGCTGTCTCGCAGTCACTGCTGGCAAGTTACTGCTGGCAACAACTGCCTTCTGATCGACGCTAAGTGTTGTGTTATGAACAAGCACAAACTCAACGGCGAACGAGACACACATTTGCCCGGCTGTTATGTTGCCTGACACTGTCTGTTTACTACTCTATCACACATGAGCTATGGAAAGCAACAGACAGTAAGACAGGAGTTCAACACTTGAAGTGGCTACATGCGCCCAAGACAAAGACTTAACAAGCCGCACGTGAGTTGGACAGCGTTCATGTCCTTTCCGTTGCCTCCACGACGACTAGAGTGCCAGGTTTTTCGACTGCCCCTCTAGTTCTCATTGCCCTCTCCTTGGCTTACGTGGACTACCATTCGGTCAACGCAAGGTCTGATGTTGCCGTGCCGAATCCCTCGCCCCTTTGCTTGCTTGCGACAGCTCCACTGCACACACGCGTGGCAGAGGCACAGCGCCAGCATGCCCGATTAGCACACTTGACGCTCGCCATTTGCAGAGGTGCTTACGCCTCCTAAAACGGATGTCAGAAGTGTAAAGGCAGCGCGTTCAGAATCCAGCAGCTGCCATGACCCTTCTTGTCCTCCACGCAGGCCCTTTTCTGCATCTCCTCTCGAGCTTGCGCCTCCGGCAAACATCACGGCCGCGCGGCTGAGACTTTAGGAACGTCTGCCTTTCACTAGAGTCACCCAGCACTACTTACAAGACACCTTGCCCCACT